ACCCAATGCCACTGAGATCACTGAGCAAGCTAATCTTCAGGCACAGGGGCAGAGGAGTGTGGTTGGTACCAAAACATTGCCTGAATAACTATAGGACAATGTATTCACTCTGGAAAGTTCATTCTGGCAAGCATCCAACTGATCTCTTAAACCCGCTAAATAGAGGGCCCTCAAGTCTTCATGGAACTAATCTTCCTCCTCTGGAATATCTATGTCTTGTCCTGATGTCCATCTATCTCTATCTTACCCGTTGAGTTTCTCATCTTAACAGAGTTGTCTGCACCATTGAACCAAAAATTTGGTTCATTTTATGATCAAGGAAAATGGCACATATATAATCAAGATAAGAAACTTCTGGAAACTCAAGTAAGGTGCAAGGGTCTCACTCACAGTATTCCCACTTCTTTCATACGGTTTCTATACCTGTGGAAAGTTATTTTTGACCAGTTGACAGAAGATCATGAGATTCAATCCTGGGTTTTGGGTGGCATCCACAATGTTACCAAGTGAAAATGGAGCTGTAACAGTGATCTAACTTGGATGTGTGCTGACAGACAACCAAAGTGCAAGAACTGATCAATCCATCCCAGGACCCTTGTGCCAAAGAGGAGAACTGGTCTGAGAGTGGGATCCATAGATTCAAAGGGCAGAGTCTAAGTGCATGGTTGTATGTTCAAAAATTTAAATGAAGAACAGGAACACTAAGGAAGTGGAAGCTGGAGACTTAGTGGAAATGGACATGAGTAAGTCTATTAAGGTGACCCCAGAATATTACAGTGTTTGCATCCTGTGTGAATAACTGTCAAAATAAACCTTTGAAGGGCTGGGGATTTAGCTCCATTGGTGAAGTGTTCACTGTGCAAGCTTAATGACATGGGCTGTTTCCCAGAAAGAAAAAAAAAAAGCTGGACACAGCAGCACATGCCTGCAACCCTAGTGCTGGGGGATAGAAACAGGAGGATCCCTGGGGCTTGCTGGCCATCTAGTACAGAGGAATCAGGGATCACCAGAATCAGAGAGACCTTGCTTTAAAAAAAAAAAAAAAAAAAAAGGTGGTGGGCCAGCGAAGTGGCTCAAGCTGGTAAAGGAGCTTGCTGCACAAGTCTAGCAACCTGAGCTTGATCCTTGGAACCCCTGTAAAGACTGAAGGAAAGAACCGGCTCCACAAAGCCATCCTTTGACCTCCACACATGCTCGCTGGCACAATCAGCCACATCCACAAGAAACAAATAAATGAAAATAAAGTGAAAAACAACTGAGGAAGGCACATGAGACCAGTCTTGGGCTTGTGCTCAGTTCTTGACTGTGCTGGATCGTGCCCGCGCGCGCGCGCGCACACACACACACACACACACACACACACACACACCTTAGAGGTTGAGATGTTCTAAATAATGGGGGTCAAGATTACCTATTTGACGATTCTCAGAGTTCTTTCTCAATGACTTGCACATTTAATTATCCACGAACTTCCTGCAGTCTTCCCTTTAACAAGGCTTATCTCACTGACACTGTGAGTCCTCAAGACCATCCACCTTGTGCCCACTGTTCATAACCATGCTCACCAGGAAAAGCCTGCCACCACGTGGCAGGTTGCTAGTGTTGCACCTTTTACTAAGTAATTTGTAATTCAAACAAATTAATTTAAAATTTTAGTTATGTGTGCGCGCATGTGGGTATGTACACACGAGTGCAGCTGCCCTTGGAGGAGTTGGATTAATTACTCAGGAGCTGGAGTTACAGATGGCTGTGAGTTGACTGATGTGGGTACTATGAACTGAACTCAGGTCCTCTGGAAGAATAGCAAATGCTCTTAACCAATGAGCCATCTCCCCAAACCATACTGCTAAATATCAAGAAGCTTTTTTTAAAAGGATCTCATGTAGCCCAGACTGGCTCTGTGCTTTCTATGTGACTAGGGATGGCCTTAAACTCCCAACCCTTCTGCCTCCCCCCCTAAAATACTGACACTCCAGGTGTGTGCGACCATCCCCGGTGTTCTAGTTTCATTTCTGTTGCTGTGATAAATACCATGACAAGAAGCAACACAGGGCAGGAGAAGGTTTGTTTGACTTACAATTCCAGGTCACAGTCCATGACTGTGGGAAAGTCAAACAGAAACTCAGTGCATGACATCTGCAGATGAGCAGAAGGAAAAGTGCATGGATCCTTCCTTGCTTGTTTTTTTCCTTTTCAATTTTTGTTTTAGATTTATTCATTTTGTTTTATGTGTGAGAGTTTTGCCTTCATGCATGTCCGTGCACCACGTTTGTGCTTGGTGCTTGTGGAGGCCAGAAGAGGGCATCAGATCCCCTAGAACTGGAGTTACAGATGGTTGTGAACCACCGTGCGTGGTTGCTGGGAACTGAACTCAGGTCCTCTTCAAGAGCAACTGTTGAGCCATCTCTCCAGTCCCTTGATTGCTTCTTTTTTTTTTTCTTTCTTTCTTTTTTCCGGAGCTGAGGACCGAACCCAGGGCCTTGCACTTGCTAGGCAAGCGCTCTACCACTGAGCTAAATCCCCAAACCCCCTTGATTGCTTCTTAAGTCCACCCAGCTTCCTTCACTCTTACACAGTTCAGGGCAGCCTGTTATTAAATGGTGCTCCCACAATGGGCTAGCTCTTCTACAAGACACAATCAAGACAATTCTCCACAGGCATACCTGTAGGTATACTTTATCTAGATAATTTCTCATTCACACTGTCTTCCCAAATGATACTAGGTTGTTTCTAAGTTGACGGTTAAATTAACCAGCACATCCTTCTGAGAAATGTGTTTTATAGCAAAAGAAGTGAAGCTGTGTTTATGGGATTCACTAATCTTAACATGGATTTCCAGATAATCTAGGCAGAATAGGGTCATTCAAAGTGATCTATTCAAAACTCAGGCTCCCTGCTCTTGGAAAATAAAATAACAAAAATGAGGTGTGAAAGCAGGATTTTGACTTCTAAACAGGGCTCGGGAAACCAGGCTCTCCTGCGTGAGACCAAGCAAGGAGAGCAGAGGAGGACCTACCTTCTTACAGGGGCATTCAGGAAGCTTCTGTTGATTAGACCTGAGACCTAGGAGCGCCTAAACTGGTTTTGTCATATCCCAGTTCCATCAGCACAACTTCTTTTGTCTGGGGATTTGGCTCAGTTGGTAAAATGCTTGCCTAGCATTCATGAAGCCCTAGGTTTAATTCCCAGCCATACATAAAAGCAGGCGTGGTGGTATAACCCTGTGGTCCCAGCTCTTGGGAGGTAGAGACAAGAGAATCAAAAGTTCAAGGTTATCCTTGACAAAGTAGTGAATTTGAGGCCAGCCTGCACTATGTAAGAAGCTTCTGAAACAAAACGAGACTTTCTGTTTTGGTTGGAGCTTCTGAGCCAGGATCTTGTTATGTAGTCCTTGCTGGTCTGGAACTCACTAGGTAGACCAAGTCAACCTCAAACTCTTAGCAATGTTCCTGCCTCAGTTTTCTGAGTTCTGAGCCACCTTGTCCTGCCTTTAGCATGTATTTTTTCCTGGTTTGTTGTTATTTGTTGTTTTGAGGTAGGGTCTTACTGTGTAGCCCCAGCTGGCCTGGAACCATCTACATAGACCATGCTAGGCAGAGATCCACCAGCCTCTGCCTTGAAAGTCCTGGGATTAAAGGAGTGTGCCACCACACATGGCACAAAATGCCTCCTTAAGGCAGGTCTTTGTGCCTGTGTAGTTTTGCCGAATCCTTCTCTATTTGACCACAATTTATACCCAACATATTCAGAAAGCCTTACTATACACATTTGCCTGTATTTGCCTTCCTAACCGGCCATACTTTTTTTGTTGTTGTTGTTTGTTTTTTTGTTTTTTCAAGACAGGGTTTCTCTGTGTAGTTTTGGTGCCTGTCCTGGATCTCACTCTGTAGACTAAGTTGGCCTCGAACTCACAGAGATCCACCTGCTTCTCCTCCCAAGACCTGGAATTAAAGGCATGCACCACCAGGCCCATCTTTGTTTTGTTTTTTCAGTGGTGGTGGTATAATGGAACCCAGGACTTCATGCATGCTAGGCAAGTGCTTTGCTACTGAGCTACATCCCCAGACCTTTTTACTTGAAGACACAGTGTCAGTAAGTCGCCCGGGATGGCCTTTAGCTCTTGATCCTCTTGCCTCAAAGCAGCTGTGGTTGTAGGCTTGTGCCACCAAGCCCAGCGTGAAAGAGGTTTGTTTCTCAGTGAATTAACTTCATCAGACAATTTTAATTCTACTTACTATTTATAAGCTTGGGAACTGATTAATATTCAAGGTTTTTCTTCTTCTATCCAAGTCCCTTTCTAAAAAATTAGGCCACGACAGCTTGCCAAGTGAAAAAAGAAAAGGACTCTGCACAAGCCATCATGACTGAGATCTGACTGAAGGTCCCAGTGGTGTTGAGTAACCTCACAGACACTGCTTCTCTTATGATTCTCAATCTAGAGATGGAGACATCGAAGACCCACCGGCTGCCAGGAACTTCAGTTACTAGACGGCTTATCAACCAAGGGAGTCCCATTTCTCTTCCTGGAGAGATATTAAGCAGAGCTGTAGACACCCACAGAGCCACCACCCCTCACTTCTCTCTGTAGGATAGACTGGAAAGAAGGCAGAGAAAACATAACCACCGTGCTAAGTGCTATGCAGTTTGTTTTATGAACAGGGTCTTAAATAATCCTCACAGTGACTTCATTGTCCGCATTTGACAAAAGGAAAAATGGAGGGTCAGTGGAGTTAGGAAATAACCAAAATCACTGGGAAGCTGATTAGTTGGTAAATTGGCAGAATGTGTGGGTGGAGATTGAGAGCAGAAAACTGTTTTTCCCACAACGTTCTTACATGGTAGTGCTTGCTGGTTCAAAACTTTGCAAAGCATGTGAACATCCCAGAAGCATCCCTCTGAAATCCATACTGTCTCTCCCGTAGCCCCATATCTCAGGTTCAGACTGGCTCTCATTTTGAGACTGAGCTCTGTAATTTGGTTTTTTACTCTTTTGCTTCTAGACCTGTAGAGAAGTACATATGCCTCTACTATCCACTGACTGGTCTGTGGACTCTGGCCACGCTTCCCGCACGTGACATCTGACCTAGGTGTCACAGTGAACTCAGGTGAGCAGATGAGAGCTAGAAAAGCAAGACATGAGCCAGACACCTATAACCCCATCACTCAAAAGGCTGAGATGGGATTGCTGAGAGTTCAAAGTGAGTCTGGGCTACATAATGAGTTCTAGACCAGTTTAGAATACAGGATGCCCTCCTAAAACCAACAACAAAAAACAACCAACAAACCATCGAACCAAAGAAAATCCAGAAACAAGGCAAGTAAGCAGTGTAGACCCAGAGCTTTGGGAATGGTATTCAAGATTCTACTAACTGAGCTACATACCCAGCCCCAAAATCAATTATGTGTAGGTGATATATACACACACACATACACACACACACACACACACACACACACACACACACACACACACATATATATATATATATATATATATATATATATATATATATATTCCTATTGGTGTGTGCCTATGTGTTTGAGTGTGTATGTATAAGCTGTTCCCAAAGCTCTGGGTTCAGCCCCAATACCAAACAAACCTGGCGCCAGAGCACACGCGTCTTATCCCAGCACTCAGGAAATGGAGAAAGAAGGATCAAGAATTTAAGATTACCCTCTGCACCGCTGGATAACCCGCAACTTTCAGGTTAGCCTTGGATACATGAGACCACATCTCAAATTTTTTAAAATAAAACTTCTTTTCATATTCTTGGCTTGCTTGCTTCGTGGTTGGAGGAATTAGTATCAATGTGTCCAATTGTCCTGAGAGACTTCTGAGGTTGCTGCTGGAAATTTAAAGTAAAATAATGAAAAAAGGTACTTAGACTTTCTCTCAAGGGAATCTCTGACACAAGCCATACAAAGTCAGCTGTGTTGTGTATAATCTGTGAGGCCCACTGTCTAGCTACATGGCCCTGATAAGACCTTGAAATATCTATACCCAGGGGATGAAGCCAGCCCAACTCACCCTGGCTTTGATCCAGAATTTAATACTACATCTACTTTGTCTGTTACTCTCATGAGCTGTGCTAAAGCCAAGGAAGCTACAAAAGTTTCCTTTATTCTCCTGTCATAATAGGAGAGCCAGCCCCAAGCCCTTCCTGTAGGGCTCTTCTTCACTGGGTCTTAACCCAGTCACTATCCCCTCCACGACACTCATCTTACTCCTGGGCTTTCCAAGGGCAGAACAGCCCCAATGGCAGTGCTCACACATGACCACACAGTCACCTAGATTATTTGTTTTTATTTTATATGTGTAGATGTTTTGTCTGCATGTATGTCTGTGCATCGTGTGTGTGGCTGGTGCTGGAAGAGGTCAGAGGAGGGTGTAGGACTCCTTAGGACTGGAATAACTGATAGGTGTAAAGCACCACGAGGATGCTGGGAATTGAACTCAGGTCCTCTGGAAGAGAAACCAGTGCTCTTAACCACCGAGCCATCTCTCCAGCTCCCCATCTAGATTCTTGAAGAGGGGAGAATGATTTGAGGTCATCTAGAGGGAAACCAGAGCCCACATGAAGCCCATTGTGCCTCCAAATGAAAGGCAATTCCCAGAGAAGCCTAATGGGCCAGAACTGGGAACTTATTCCTGAGTACACATGGCACACTTTCTGGAGACATCTAGAAACTCTTGTGTGAGGGTGGAGTCATGGATAGGTGAGAATCATGACAAAGTACATAAGAATATCTATGACCTCATCTGTTCTTACAAGCTAGAGGCCTGAGGATATTCAGATTTCGTGAAAGAAACCAAAGATGATGGCAAGCTTTCTTAGCATTTTGAAGTTGACTTCATGCAAGAGAGGGAAAGGGACCTTGTTTGAGTTTAATCTCACCCACAAAATGATTCCATGTGTGGAGGGTTATTTATTTATTTATTGGGTGGTGGTGTTTTTTAATGTGTATAAGTGTCTTGTCTGCTTGTACGTCTGTCCACCACATGTGTGTAGTGCCTGAGGAGGACAGAAGAGGATGCTGGATCCTCTGGGACTGGAGTACAGTTGTGAGCTGCCATGTGAATGCTGGGGATGAAACCACAGTCCTCTAGAGCAGCCCGTGCTCTGAGCCGCGTACTAGATTATCGGTGTGTGCCACCACTCCCTATTCGGTGTCTTCTCCCCTCCTCCTCTTCTTCTGGGCGTTGAACCCGAGGCTTTGCATATGCTCGGTAAGTGTCCTAACATGGACCTGTGCCCCCAGCCTCAGTTTTCTAGAGGATTTTAACTTGAAGACAAATATTCTATCATAGAAAACAGACTGACATTTATACCGACTTGAAAGGTCAGTGACTCTTTTGGGGAATTATGAGTCTCAAACGGCTTTTTGGGGTTAGGGAACCAATGAACCTGCCAGATGACATTTTTTTCTCAAGGGAGGGAGGGGGAATAGGAGAGAAGGTAATTTGGATTCTCAGTTGAACCTCTGGCTTAGATGTTAAGTCTCTTTGGCTGAGAATATGCTTTCTTGCTTCTGTTTTTGGTATGGTGCCAAGGACACTGTCAGCCCACAAGTAATCATTGTTAACTTGCTGTGGAAGGGAGAGTCATTAAGGAAAATATTAAAAGCCTATTCCAGTATCATAAAATTTTCAAGGACAAAGAAATATGATACATGTGTAACCTGTTTCAGGCAGATAGAAGATGTTAGGACCCACTGGATTTTAAGCAGAAATTACCATTTCCCAGTATTTGTCATGGATGTTTTTTTTTTTTTTTTTTTGGTTTTTCGAGACAGGGTTTCTCTGTGTAGCTTTGTGCCTTTCCTGGAACTCGTTTTGTAGCCCAGGCTGGCCTCGAACTCACAGAGATCCGCCTGGCTCTGCCTCCCAAGTGCTGGGATTAAAGGCGTGCGCCACCACCGCCCGGCTTCATCATGGATGTTTTTTAAAAAGACAATGTGCTTAGAAGCACATATATTACCATAACTAGGATAATGGGGCAAACAGAGGCAGAGAGTTTAGGCAATCCAGATTGATGATACAGCAGAATCTTATGTTCTCCCTAAGAGTTCCCATCCTTACGGGGTTGTAGCTACAAGGAGTTGCTTCAATTGTCCTTGCAAGCAACAAGTCACATTTTTATAGGCTGTGAACTGTATGTTTGGGGAAAGCTACAGATCCCAAACTTTCATCAGAATTTAGGACAAAATTTCCTGAAAAACATATAAGGATAGGTGAAGAGCTCACAACGAAAAATATTGCCTTAAACTAGATGTGAAGGCAGATGTTTGTAATCCCAGCATGCAGGAAGCAAAAACATCACACTGTGCACTACAAATATTAATGTATATAATTTGTATTTGCCAGCTGCACTTTAGTGAAATTTTTGAAAGATTTATTATTTATGCGTGTGTGTGTGTGTGTGTGTGTGTGTGTGTGTGTGTGTGTGTGTGTGTTCTCCTGTGCTTATGTGTGCAGGCTCCCTCAGAGGACAGAGGAGGTGTCAGATTCCCTGAAGCTGAAGTTACAGGTAGTTGTGAGCCACCTGATGTGGGTGTTCAGGACCTCTGCAAGAGCCACAAGCATTTATGTGCTGGAGAGATGGTTCAGCTGTTAAGAGCACTTGCTGTTCTTCCGGAGGACATGGGTTAGATTTCCCAATACCCACATGGTAGTTCACAAGGAAGCTGACACTTCTAACCTCGACAGACACTAAACATTCATGCGTTACAGATGCATATCAGGCAAAATAACCATATACATAAAAAACATTTTTCCATTAAAAAAACAGCAAGTGTTCTCAACTGCTGAGCCATCCCTCTAGCCTCTAATGGATTTTTTTTTCATGTGTATTTGTGTGTGTGAGAGGTCAGAAGGCACCTGAGAGTCTGAGAAAAGAAGAGAGGCTTCCCTGATCAAAATCCTGTGTGAACCACACAGTAGTGAGAGGACAGAATCCTAACCACTAGGTCACAAAAGGATAGTTCTGTTATAGTTTAATTAAAAACAAGGCTGGGCAGTGGTGGCACTTGCCTTTAATCCCAGCACTCAGGAGTCAGAGGCAGGCGGATCTCTGTGAGTTCAGACCAGCCTGGGCTACAGAGCAATTCCAGGAAAGGTGCCAAAGCTACACAGAGAAACCCTGTCTCGAAAAAAACAAAACCAAACAAACAAACAAAAGAACAAGCCTGTAATTCTAGCACTTTGGACCTAGAGGCAGGAAAATCAAGAGTTCAAGGTCATCTTCAGCTGGGCATGATGGCTCACACCTCTAATCCCAGTACCTAAGAAATTGAGGAAAGAGGGCTTCTGTGAGTTCAAGGACAACTGAAGCAGTACAGTGAGTTCTGGGCTAGCAGGATCCTGTCTCAGAAACAAAAACACATTGGAAAGGCAAGAGGATCCCAAGTTCTAGGCCAGTCCCTTCTGCATAGAAAGTTTGAGGCCTCATAAACTACAGGAGACTCTCTCACAGCGCTGACGGCAAGAGAGACTGCTTCCAAAACTTCCTTGTTTTGTTTCCAGGTTTATTTTGTTTCATTGTATAATTTTTTGCTTTTCGTGACAGGGTCTCATATAACCCAGACTGACCTTGAACTGACTATGCAGTGGAGCATGACTGAATCACTGACCCTTCTGTTTCTGCCTCCCTAGTGGGATTCCAGGTGTGAATGACTCACCTGGCTAGCTGTTTCCCAACTTAAATGTTTGAATTCCTACCCCCACAGCGGGCCCAAAGGTGAGAACTGTTCTTCCCTTGGCTTCTTCCACTGAGATTGCTGAGCAAACATTACAATTCTTTCGAGGTCCCTTTTCCTTGGGACTTTCTCTTACTGGGTCTGCTACTGGTCCCACTCATTACTCCTCAGTGGACCTAGGGCATCTTTTTGGCTCTGTCATACCATGACTTCTCTCTCCCTGCTTCCTTCCCATCTCCCTCCTCTCTTTTCTTCTCCACTTCCTGCCTCTCCTCTCCTTCCTTCTTTCTTTTCCTTCCTTCTAGTGTTGGCCATGAAGCTCAGGGCTCTTCGTGTGCTAGGTATCATCAAGGAATGCCTCCTGCACAGGGATTTCTTCAAATGCTTCAAGTCCATTTTTTTTTTTTTT